TCTCTTCCCTCGGCTCTAGTTATGGTAGAGTCTCGGTGCAATCAGACACCCATTTTGGTCATCAAGTCTCCCACAGTTTGTCAGATGAGTTCTCACATCTCCAGGTAAGGGAAATAAGTACCTTATTTTAACTGATTATGTGAGATGTATTCACCAACTATGCAGGGAACAAACCTCTGAGAATACATCGTCAACACTTTAATGGACATACTGTAGTTAGATTATGTATAAAGTATGACTCATCGAGAATTGATCTTCATACCACAGCAGCTTAAGTTGTGTAACAGTTGTGTGGAAGGAGTAAGAAAGGAGAGAGGAGGAAGAAAGGAGGGGGTTAGGGGAAGAGAAGGAGGAGGGAGTGAAGGGGCAGGGGGAGTGAAGGGGCAGGGGGGAGGCGAGGTAGGAAGAAAGGCGGGGGAAGAAGGGAAGAGGGAAGTGAAGGGAGGAGGGAGTGAAAGGGCAGGGAAGTGAAGGGGCAGGGGGAAGTGAAGGGCGAGGGAGTGGAAGAAAGGGGGGAAGTGAATGGAGGAGGGAGTGAAGGGGTGGGGTAAGTGAAGGGGGGAAGGAAGTGAAGGGAAGAAAGGAGGGAAGGCATGGGAAGTGAAAGGGGAATTGAAGGGGGGGAAGTGAAGGGGCGGGGGGAAGGAAGGGCGGGGGAAGTGAAGGGCGGGGAGTGAAGGGGGGGGGGGGAAATGAAGGGTGGGGAGAAGGGGGCAGGGGAAGTGAAGAGGGCGGGGAGTGAAGGGGGGGGAGAGGGGACTGGGGTGTGAAGGGGGCAGGGAAGTGAAGGGGGAAATGAAGGGCGGGGGAAGTGAAGGGAGGAGAGACAAGGGGCGGAGGAAGGAAGGGTCGGGGAGTGAGGGGCGAAGAAGTGAAGGGGCGGGGAAATGAAGGGCGGGGAAGTGAAGGGTCAGGAAGTGAAGGAGGAGAGACAAGTGGGGGGCGGAGGAAGTGAAGGGTCGGGGAGTGAGGGGGAAGAAGAAGTGAAGGGCGGGAAGTGAAGGGCGGGGAAGTGAAGGGCTGGGGAAGGAAGGGACGGGGGAGTGAGGGGAGGAGTGAAGGAGGCGGGGAGGAAGGAGGCGGGGGAGTGAAGGGGACGGGAGGAAGGGGCAGGAGGAGTGTAGAGGCGGGGAGTGAAGGGACGGGAGGAGGAAGGGGGGAGAGGAGGAAGGGCGGGAGGAGTGAAGGGAGGGAGGAGTGTAGGGGGCGGGGAGTGAAGGGGCGGGAGGAGTGAAGGAGGCGGGGAGTGAAGGGCGGGAGGAGGAAGGAGGCGGGAGGAGGAAGAGGCGGGAGGAGGAAGGGGCGGGGAAGTGAAGGGGGGGTAGTGAGGGGGCGGAGGGAGGAGGGGGGCGAGGTGAGTGAGGGACGGAGGAGGAAGGGGGCTGGAGGATTGAAGGGGCGGGGGGAGTAAGGGGCGGGGGAAGTGAGGGGAGTTTGCTGCCACACAGCTTATATTATTGACCTGCATTGATTTATACATCATGGCCGCCCCTACCACAGATGGCACAGACTGTTGGTCACCTCCCACATGTTGTCACCAGGAATTATGCAGTAGGTAGCTTACAAACATGAAAGCATACTGTGTTGTCTAATGGTAGACCCTGCTGCCATATGGCACCACAAAAATTGTGACCAAGTCCGGGGTTGCTGATCTACTTTGCCTCATTTACACACAGTTGCAGAGTCTCAACTGTTTCTTTTACTTTGACAACGCAACATATATATCGTTTCTCACTGTTAATCTGTTTTTATTTATTTATTTATTTATTTAATTATTATCATTTTTTGTTTTCCAGCCCCCCCAGGCGTCACACTTCCCACATATTGACACCCTGTACTGCCCCCCCAGGCCCCAATGCGTCACACTTCCCACATACTGACACCCTGTACTGCCCCCCAGGCCCCAATGCGTCACTTCCCACTATTGACACCCTGTACTGCCCCAGGCCCCAATGCGTCACACTTCCCACATACTGACACCTACTGCCCCCCCCAGGCCCCAATGCGTCACACTTCCCACATATTGACACCCTGTACTGCCCCCCCCAGGCCCCAATGCGTCACACTTCCCACATATTGACACCCTGTACTGTACATCAACATCACCGTCGACAATCAGGGGGTCCGCTACCCTCCTTTTTTCTGGCCGCTATATGCGACCGGTTGAACGACGTCCAAATTCGGTTAAGCTGCCGGTAAGATTGTTATTACTACGTGTAATTTGGGTAAAAAAATAATATCTGGGGTAAGTGATGAAGGATATATCCGAGAATAGGGCGTTTATCGTTCTTTCAATTTTCTAATCGACGTACTGTTCATCAGTGTGTTTACCATTGTGAAACAAGTACCGCTCAAAGTCCACACCACAGAACGTGTGATGGCTGCCGGTACTAAATTTGAACCAAATTTTGCTGAAATTGCAAACCATTTCCAGGCACAAACCTCATATTAGATTTACAGTTGTTCTTTGTATTTTTATTTGGAATGAGAACAGTTTTATCTCTAAAATTATCACATTAGCTTTCTTTCGTTCTGTGCTGTACAATCTATAGTAATACTTTATTTCATAAAGCATTTCTGTATTATGTATGTGAATCGTTTATTTGTATTGCTAAAATAAAATAATATATTACATAATTTTATCCTAAACAAAGTTTGTTTACCCTTTTATTATAAACAACAAATTAGGCAAGTGGCAATTGTTCCGTTTTCCTGTATTACAGCGTTGTTTATCACAAGTCTTCTTAAAGTAACAATATATAGACTGAGCTTTGTATTGCTCATTTAATCCTGTGGAATGATTGCAGACTTGAGTTGCCTTAGCACAGCTGCGGCCGATTGTTGATTACTATTATTTTTCTACGGGGATTAGCCACCCGGGGCACAGGTCACTGACCCAAAACAGGACCTGGGAGACGAAATAATAATAATAATAATAATAATAATAATAATAATAATAATAATAATAAATAAAAAAAAAAATCAATAATGAGAAACAATATATGTTTGTTGTGTTGTCAATAAGAAAAGTTGAGACCCCACAATTGTGTGTAAATGAGGCAGAAAGTCAGATGAGCAACCTGGGGCTTGGTCACAATTTTCGTGATGCCATATAGCAGCAGGGTCTACCATTAGACAACACATTATGCTTCCAATATCTTTCCAGGCCGTAGTACCTCCCTGTTTGATAGCTGCGTACTACCTACTGCCAGTTAATTTTAGGTTAGGTTAGGTTATGTATATAAAGGTTACGGGGCCTAGTCTAAATGAACCTCTGCACTGTACAACACCATATAAATGAACCCCTGTACTGTACAACACCATATAAATGAACCCCTGTTCTATACAACACCATATAAATGAACCTCTGTACTGTACAAACGTATAAATGAACCCCTGTACTGTACAACACCATATAAATGAACCCCTGTACTGTACAACACCATATAAATGAACCCTGTTCTATACAACACCATAAATGAACCCTGCTGTACAACACCATATAAATGAACCTTACTGTACAACACCATATAAATAACCCCTGTTCTATACAACACCATATAAATGAACCTCTGTACTGTACAACACCGTGTAAATGAACCCTGTATTACAACACCGTGTAAATCAACCCTGTACTGTACATCACCGTATAAATGACACACTGTACAACACCGTATAAATGAACCCCACTGTACAACACCATATAAATGAACCCCTGTTCTATACAACACCATATAAATACCCTTCTATACAACACCGTATAAATGAACCCCTGTACTGTACAACACCGTGTAAATGAACCCCTGTACTGTACATCACCGTATAAATGAACCCCTGTACTGTACAACACCGTATAAATGAACCCCTGTACTGTACAACACCATATAAATGAACCCCTGTTCTATACAACACCATATAAATGAACCCTGTTTATACAAACATATAAATGAACTCTGTACTGACAACACCGTGTAAATGAACCCTGTACTGTGCATCACCGTATAAATGACCTGTCTGTACAACACCGTATAAATGAACCCTGTACTGTACAACACCATAAATGAACCCTGTTCTATACAACACCATATAATGAACTCTGTACTGTACAACACCGTATAAATGAACCCTGTACTGTACAACACTGTATAAATGAACCCTGTTGTACAACACCGTATAAATGAACCCTGTCTGCACATTACCGTATAAATGAACCCTGTACTATACAACACCGTATAAATGAACCCCTGTACTGTACAACACCATATAAATGAACCCCTGTTCTATACAACACCATATAATGAACCTCTGTACTGTACAACACCGTATAAATGAACCCCTGTACTGTACAACACTGTATAAATGAACCTGTATTGTACAACACGTATAAATGAACCCTGTACTGCACATTACCGTATAAATGAACCCTGTTTGTACAACACCGTATAAATGAACCCTGTACTGTACCGTATAAATGAACCTCTGTACTGTACAACACGTATAAATGAACATGTACAACACCGTATAATGAACCCTGTACTGTACAACACCGTATAATGAACCCTGTGCTGTAAACACCATATAAATGAACCTGTTCTATACAACATAAATGAACTCTGTACTGTACAACACCGTATAAATGAACCCCTGTACTGTACAACACTGTATAATGAACCCCGGTATTGTACAACACCGTATAAATGAACTTACTGCACTTACCGTATAAATGAACCCCTGTATTGTACAACACCGTATAAATGAACCCCTGTACTGTACAACACCGTATAAATGAACCTCTGTACTGTACAACACCGTATAAATGAACCCCTGTACTGTACAACACTGTATAAATGAACCCCTGTATTGTACAACACCGTATAATGAACCCCTGTACTGTACAACACTGTATAATGAACCCCTGTACTGTACAACACCGTATAATGAACCCCTGTACTGTACATCACATTACACACACAAACATTTCATTCAATCATCAAACCAACCTTTCAGGGCAGTTCGCTTCTCAGCCCACCGAACTGTGGTGACGAGAACGGGCGTAGTTGGTGTTGAGTGGGCGGTGGCGGGCGTGGAGTGGGCAGAGGAAGGTGTGGACTGGGTGGTGCAAGTGTCTAAGAGCGATTGATCACTCCTACTGGCCATGACACGCTTCACCACAAACACCCCAACATCGTCTCAAAAGTATGGCTCTCTCCCCTACTCTTTTCTGTAACACCTTTGTCACTCGCTGTAACACTCTGGTCATTACCCTGTGATACCCTGTCACTTCCTGTACTATTTCACCACTTCCTGTAACACTTTGTCATTTTCTGCAACGTTTCCCCAATTTCTATAACACTTCGTTACTTCCTGAAGTCTTCTAACTCGCTGGTAGTTGATCTCTCAGTCGACCACCTCCCTGAAACAGAACACCAATATAAGACAAACTTGGGTTATGATGCGTTAGGTTAGGATACGGTCAGTTAAGTTAGGTTAGGTTAGGTTAGGAAATCTTTCTATTATAATAATTAACCGCCCTAATGCTAACCTAATCTAACTACCTAACCTAACCTAACCTAATCGAACCTAACCTAACCCAATACACCAAAATAGTTTAGGGGGATTAATCTTCAGGTGAAGTAAGCTGGGGAGGAGCTTCGTCAGATGAATCTCTTATATTATACCTACACACACGTACAGTGGACATACAGTGGGTGTGGACGGCCACACGAATGGGTGTGGACGTACAGTGGGTAGGGACATTACAGTGGGTGTGGGCCACAGGCCAGGTGTGGACGGCCACAGTGGGTGTGGAGGCGTGTGGGTGTGGACGTACAGTGGGTGTGGACATGCAGTGGTGTGGACGTACAGTGGGTGTGGGCAGTAGTGGGGTAATGAACATTACAGTGGGTATGTGGGCAGCCACAGTGGGGTAATGGACGCTGATGGGTATGGACGTACAGTGGAGTGTAGACGTACAGTAGGTGTGGAACGGCCTGATGGGTGTGGACGGCCTGGGTGGCGGACGTACAGTAGGTGTGGACATTACGGTAAGGTGTGGACGTACGGTGGTGTGGGCCCGGCCACAGTGGGTGTGGACATTACAGTAGGTGTGAACGTACAGTGGGTGTGGACGTACAGTGGGTGTGGACGTACATTGGGTGTGTAGACGGCCACAGTGGAGTGTGGACGTACAGTGGGTGTGGACATTACAGTGGGTGTGGACGGCCACAGTGGGTGTGGACATTACAGTGGGGTGTGGACATTACGGTGGGTGTGGACGGCCACAGTAAATGTGGGCAGCCACAGTGGGTAAGGGACGGCCTGATGGGTGTGGACGTACAGTAGGTGTGTGGACGTACAGTAGGTGTGGACGTACAGTAGGTGTGGACGTACAGTGGGTGTGGACGGCCCGGTGGGTGTGGACGTACAGTAGGTGTGTGGACGTACAGTGGGTGTGGACGACCACGGTAGGTGTGGACATTACGGTAGGTATTGGACGTACGGTGGGTGTGACATTACAGTGGGTATGGACGTACAGTGGGTGTGGACGTACAGTGGGTGTGGACATTACAGTGGGTGTGGACGTAAAGTGGGTGTGGACGTAGGTGTGGACATTACAGTAGGTATGGAGCGTACAGTAGGTGTGGACGGCACAGTAGGTGAGACATTACAGTAAGAGTATGGACGGCCACAGTGGGTGGAGACATTACAGTGGTGTGGACGTACAGTAGGTGTGTGGACATTACAGTGGGTGTGGATGGCCACGGTGGGTGTGGACGTACAGGTGTGGACGTACGGTAGGTGAGGACGTACAGTGGGTGTGGACGTACGGTAGGTGTGGGCGGTGATACAGTGGGTGTGGACATTACAGTGGGTGTGGACATTACAGTGGGTGTGGACGTACAGTGGGTGTGGACATTACAGTGGGTGTGGGCGTACAGTGGGTAGGAGACGGCCACAGTGGGTGTGAACATTACAGTGGGTGAAGGACGTACAGTGGGTAGGGACATGCAGTGGGTGTGGACGTTCAGTGGGTGTGGACGTACAGTAGGTGGACATTACAGTGGGTGTGGGCGGCCACAGTGGGTGTGGACGGCCACAGGCAGGTGTGGACATTACAGTGGGTGTGGACAGCCTGAGTAGGTGGCCAGACGGCCACGAGTGAGTGTGGACGGCCACAGTGGGTGTGGACATACAATGGGAGTGTGGGCAGCCACAGTAGGTAGGGACAGCCCACAGTGGGTGTGGGCAGCCACAGTAGGTGTGGACAGCCACAGTAGGTAATGAGACGGCTACAGTGGGTAATGGACATTACAGTGGGTGAGGGCATTACAGTGGTGTGGACGCTGAAGGTAGGTAATGTGGACAGCTGGTAGGTGTAGACGTACAGTAGGTATGAACTTGATACAGTAAGGTGTGGAACCCGTACAGTAGGTGTGGACGTACAGTGGGTGTGGACATTACAGTGGGTGTGGACATTACAGTAGGTGTGGGCAGCCTGTGGGTGTATGAGACGTACAGTGGAGTGTGGACATTACAGTGGGTGTGGACAGCCACAGTAGGTGTGGGCGTACAGTGGGTGTGGACATTACAGTGGGTGTGGACGTACAGTGGGTGTGAACTTATTACAGTGGGTGTGGACGTACGGTGGGTGTGAACGGCCACAGTGGGTGTGGACAGCGTACAGTAGGTAGGGACATTACATGGGAGGTGTGGACGGCCACAGTGGGTGTGGGCAATACAGTGGGTGTGGACATGCAAGTGGGGTGTGGACATTGCAGTGGGTGTGGACGGCCACGGTAGGTGTGGACGGCCACAGTGGGTGTGGACACAGTGGGTGGGGCATTACAGTGGGTGTGGGCCATTACAGTAGGTGTGGGCATTACAGTGGGTGTGGACGGCTACGGTAGGCCGTGGACGGCCACAGTAGGTGTGGACGTACAGTGGGTGTGGACGCGTACAGTGGGTGGGGCGATACAGTGGGTGGGGGCGTACAGTGGGTGTGGACATTACAGTGGGTGTGGCGGCCACAGTGGGTGAGGACGGCCTGAGTAGGTGTGGACGTACAGTGGGTGTGGACGTACAGTGGGTGGGGACGTACAGTAGGTGTGGACGTACAGTAGGTGTGGGCCGGTACAGTGGGTGTGGACGTACAGTGGGTGTGTGGACATTACAGTGGGTGGGGACATTACAGTGGGTGTGGACATTACAGTGGGTGAGGACGTACAGTAGGTGTGGACGTACGGTGGGTGTGGACATGCAGTGGGTGTGGACGTGCAGTGGGTGTGGACGTACCGGTGGGTGTGGGCGTGCAGTGGGTGTGGGCGTTACAGTAGGTGTGGAGGCGATACAGTGGGTGGGGCGTACAGTGGAACAATAGACGTACAGTGGTGTGGACACAGTGGGTGTGGACGTACAGTAGGTGTGGACGTACAGTGGGTGAGGACGTACAGTAGGTGTGGACGTACAGTGGGTGGAGGACGGCCACAGTAGGTGTGGACGGTACAGTGGGTGGGAACGGCCACAGTGGGTGGGGACATTACAGTGGGTGGGACGTACAGTAGGTGTGGGCGTACAGTGGGTGAGGATGTACAGTAGGTGTGGACGTACAGTGGGTGGGGACGTACAGTGGGTGTGGACATTACAGTGGGTGTGGACGTACAGTGGGGTGTGGACGGCCACAGTGGGTGGGGACGTACAATGGAGGTGGGCTGACCACAGTGGGTGGGGACATTACAGTAGGGGTGTGGACGTACAGTGGGTGAAGACGTACAGTGGGTGTGGACATTACGGTGGGTGTGGACCTACGGTGGGTGTGGACATTACGGTAGGTGTGGACGTACAGTAGGTGTGGACGTACAGTGGGTGTGGACGTACAGTGATTGTGGACATTACAGTGGGTGGGGACGTACAGTGGGTGTGGACACAGTGGGTGGGGGCATTACAGTGGGTGTGGACGGCCCACAGTGGGTGTGGACGTACAGTGGGTGTGGGGTACAGTGGGTGTGGGCGTGCAGTGGGTGAGGAGGGCGTGCAGTGGGTGTGGACGTGGCCACAGTGGGTGGGGACATTACAGTGGGTGTGGACATTACAGTGGGTAAAGGGACATTACAGTGGGTAGGGACGTACAGTGGGTGTGGAGGTACAGTGGGTGTGGAGGTACAGTGGGTGTGGACGGTACGGTGGGTGGGGATGTACGGTGGGTGTGGGCCGGTACAGTGGGTGTGGACGGCCACGAGTGGGTGTGTGGCGTACAGTGGGTGAGGGCGTACGGTGGGTGTGGACGTACAGTGTAGGGTGTGGACATTACGGTGGGTGTGAACTACAGTGGGTGTGGGCAGCCACGGTAGGTGTGGACGGCCACGGTGGGTGGGGACGTACAGTGGGTGTGGTCATTACAGTGGGTGTGGACATTACAGTGGGTGTGGACATTACAGTGGGTGAGGGAGAGGAGACGACCACAGTGGGTGTGGTCGTACAGTGGGTGTGGACGTGCAGTGGGTGTGGTCATTACAGTGGGTGAGGGACGTACAGTGGGTGTGGTCGTACAGTGGGTGTGGGCGTACAGTGGGTGTGGACGTACAGTGGAATGGACGTACAGTGGGTGTGTGGTACGGTGGGTGTGGACGTACAGTGGGTGAGGGACGTACAGTGGGTGGGGACGTACAGTGGGTGTGGACGTACAGTGGGTGTGGACATTACAGTGGGTGTGGACATTACAGTGGGTGGGGACGTACAGTGGGTGTGGACGTACAGTGGGTGTGGACGGCTGAGTGGGTGTGGACGTACAGTAGGTGTGGTCGGCCACCGGTGGGTAAAGAGGGCGTACAGTGGGTGTGAATACCGTACAGTAGGTGTGGACGTACAGTGGGTGTGGAGGTACAGTGGGTGTGGAAGTACAGTGGGTGTGGACGGCCTGAGCAAGGTGTGGCGGGCAGCCAGTGGGTGTGGACATTACAGTGGGTGTGGTCGTACAGTGGGTGGGGACGTACAGTGGGTGTGTGAGTGCATTGCAGTGGGTGTGGGCAGCCCAGTGGGTGTGGGCCACAGTGGGTGTGGAGGTACAGTGGGTGTGGACGGCCACAGTGGGTGGGACGTACAGTGGGTATGGACATTACCACAGTAGGGTGTGGGCAGCCACAGTGAGTGTGGACATTACAGTGGGTGGGACGCTGGTGGGTGTGGACGGCCACAGTGGGTGTGGACGGCCTACAGTAGGTGTGGACATTACAGTGGGTAATATGGGCATGCAATGGGAGTGTGGACGTACAGTGGGTGAGGGACATTACAGTGGAATTGTCAATTACAGTGGGAGGTGTGGACGTACAGTAGGTGTATGAACCACAGTAGGTAATGAACTTGGCCACAGTGGAGTGTGGGCATACAGTGGGTGGGGACATACAGTGGGTGTGAGTA